ATTTTGGACGGAACAGTACATATTAGGGGCACTGGAAAGAAAATACCCAAGAAAAAAACCGTGGGAAGATGTGCAAAAGTGATTTTTTAGGAAGTTGAAAAGTGCACTTGTCATTTTTTAAAAGTATAAGATACAGAATTCTTTTTCATTCTACACTGTTATTCGATAAGAAAAAAGACTTTTTTCGAGAAAAGTGTATTTTCTCAAAATAGGGATTGTGACGAATCCACTGTCCCTCTTATCGTCACATTTTCTGTGACACTTGCAGTCGATTTTTTCAATAGATTTACAGGATGTTTCAGGAACTGCTATCATTCCTGATTCTGACTCTTCATAAATTTGAATCTCAGTTTTTTTTGCCGGAATCCCAATGAAAATTGATATTATTTTTCATTCAGTAGAAACTTAAATCTAAATTAGTTTTTTAAATACTATGTGTCAGTTAGATCTGATAAAAACAATAAAACAAAGACAAAAAGTGGAAGAGTCGTCAAACTTTATTTGGATTTTGGGATTGAAATCAATCTCGCGAAACAGAAAAGGTTAAGAGAAAACTAAATGAATAAAATGTTTGCTAATTTGCCTTTCTCAACTATTTATCAATATTATCCTATGCAAATGACTCTACAAAGATGATGTAAGGTGTATCGAAAATATAGTTGATTTTGATTCAAAGACTTATTTGTAGCAATAAAAGCTCAAATATCTAAATGGGGTACAAAAAGTGTACCCCAGGGGTACAAAATGACAAAATGGGGTATTGTACCCCAAAATGGGGTACAGTTGGCAGCCCTGTACGTAATTCAATCACATATACAGATATCGTGTAGAAGTACTGAAATTAACTGAAGAAAAATTAAACATAAATACTTTAAAAAATCAATTTAATGTTTACATTAAAATATCATCAAAATCTAATCGAATAAAAATGAAACAAGTGCTTTTTGTTTAACTTTTCGATTTTATTAATATAATGATATTTGCATAAAAGACCGATTTAAAAACTATAAAGATTATTAAAATACAATAATTATATATAACACAAGGAGGCTTGTTTTGCTTCTTATTTCAATGAGATAAAATGTGATTTTCCGTTATGATACCAATCTAATTTATTTGTAATATGATATTTTAATAATCATGATATTAATATTAGTAGTGAATTTATTTCATCGATGAATTTTCAAATAATTTCTCTCTTGTTTTGTTTTTACAAAATATTTGTAGAACTTTATATATATAATATATATCAGATGTATATAATTCAATAATATCAAATAGAACAGTACTGTTTAAAAAAACAAACTATTCATGAAAAATAAATGAATCAACATTAACTAATCTTGATGAAATCGCTCAATATATACAAAAAAACATTAATATGTTGATACATATGTTTATCAGACATCAATGATACGTACAACAAATATTGATAATCATTGAAAATCAATGTAGAATTAAATTGACTTGAACATTTTTTTGTTTGTTTTATTTTATTATTGATTTGATTATTTTAGGACAATAGTTGTTCATAATCTATTAAATACTGTCAAATATCTTCATGATATATCATCACAGCGATAATTTTACCGTTGTACAATCATCATATGAAACATCTGATGATTTATCTATATCTAGAAATTTTTTTATATATTAAAAAACTATCAATATAATGTAATATAATTCAACGAGAACAAAATTCATCCAATTAATATTCTGTTCGTTTTAATTAAAAATGATTACATAACTTTGGTATTCATATTCTAACATGAAAATAATCAGAAACAAGAGAACTATCATCGTCATCACCAACTTTAACATTACTTATACGATTTCCATCATCATTATCAAATAATTTATCTATTATTAACAAAAAGATAGAAAAATTTGTTGAACATTCATTAGAACAATTATGTGATTTGTCAATGGTTACTTCTCTTAAAGCTTTGATTAATAGTAATGATTCATTATGTTTATCATTTAAATTATCTGATTAAAAAAATTGAAATATCAAGGTGAATTCGATAATATTTTTATTGAAAATATTAATCATTATTATTGTCAAAATCGACGAATATCATCAATATCTTGAACAAATTTATTATCAACATTTGAACGATATTATCGTTTATGTTCAAATTTATTTGATCGACCACTTAATTTACCTTGTTCATCATTAATAACGAATTCATCTGAAAAATTAGCTGAACTCTAAAGAACAAAATAATATATGTAATGAAGTAAGTATTATTTCACCATGAACATTAGCTAATAATGAGAATTTTATAAATGATATTCAAAGAGAAATATTTCATTTACTTCAAATATTATTTTCATCTTATGATAATCATTTACGATTATTAAATCTTATATTATTATCGAATGAAAATGAATTATCGACAAGAGTTAATCAATTTGATGAAAAATCAATAAATAAACCATCTGATGATAATAAACTTGGAAAAAATGTCATCGATCACTTATCGAAGGAATCGATAAATGAAATAAATTTTTAGAATAATACAATTGTTTGAAATTAAAATTTCATATCGGTAAATACAGATGAATTCAAATATATTTATGCATTTTTTTCAATCGAAATAATAAAAGAAAAAAAAAAATCATTTATTTGTTTTATCATAGAAAAATAGAAATGCGTACCAAACATAATGTTGATATAGATCAGATTTGATTGAAACTTTCGAATACTTGAAACAAAGTAACGCAATAGCTACTTTTTCTTAAAGAAAATCTTAAATATCTCTACTGTACTTTGACTGAATCGATTGACAGTTTTAATAATACCAATAAACGAGTATTCATGGTTGATATTGATAAGAAAAATACTCTATTCAAATATTATACTTTGAATCAGTATTTTATCGAAAATGAGGGTCGAGAGAGCGTCGTCTTTTCACACATTAGATTTACATTTTAAAAATTTTAAATCGCTCCTCTGAAAGAGAAAATCTGTTAAAAGTACTGCTTTTGACATTAGTAGAAAACTATAATCTTTGAATAGTCATGAACAAAAAAAAACAATGCTTAAATAATTCATTTGATAACTTCAGTTGTTTATGAGAAAAATTTTCTGATTACATTAATTAATATGAAATAGACTTATGATAAAAATTAAAAATCAAATGATCATTGTTTGAAGCATTAATTTAAAATATTTTATGCTTTTTATTTTTATTCAAAAATAATAAATATATTGATTTTTTTTCAAAACCATTCAGATTATTGATCAATACACATGTCGAAAATAATATTTCACAATACAATTTTTGAATTGTTTTTTCTTATGAATATTAACAATAAACATTCCTTTATTATTATGAAAACAAAAAGAAAACAATATATGTAGTTCAGGAATGACAGAGATTGTCAAGCTTTTCTTATCAAGAAAATTTTATATTATCTTGTAAAAAAATATGTTTAATTACTGTTCATTTCCTTGTATTATTTAGGGTAATGATCGTGAACTATTAAAAAATCATAAAATAGTACTTTTTTATGTTTAAATATTAAGTTTATGATGGAACTCTCCTAATTGATAATTTGCATTTGAGTCGGGTCTATATGCATCCATGTAATCGTCCTTGAGTTATGAATACTCTAAAAAAAGTTCGAATTCTCATATCATTGCTACGAAGATACTGTATTTTTACGTTAGTTTTTTAAATCAATATCGTAGATCTCCTCAACAACACAATGGAGATTGATTTCCGAATGTTGACTAAAAACTTTACACAGACATACAACATTAACGAGAATAGTTTATTGTGAAAGGTTCAGGTCTTTTTCTTGTTCTTGTTCTTATGTTGAAATATGAAAATCAAATCTATACGTGTATATGAGCAAAGGGGGAAACATCGTACTTTTGTACTTTACTGTACTTTAACGTATCTTATCCTTCTATAACGTATTTTAAGCTACTTTAAAATAGTTTAATGTAATTTTACGTATTATAGCATACCATGTACATTGTAAAGTAGAAAACTATGATGTTTGTTCCTTGGATGCATCAATTACAATCACAATTCTTGACTTGGAATTCGAACTGGTAGGCAGCATTGGAATTGGCTAGGGGAGCTGGAGAAAGCTACCGTTGCACAGGTAGTTACTTTATCAGTTACTGGATAACGGGCTAATGGAAAATTATGTGCTTGATTTTTTTTTTACTAAAGTAAGGATTTTTAGGGAAAATAATGGCTTTTTTTTTTAATAAAGTTTGATCAACGGTTTTTGAAATCAAGGATTTCGAATCTACAATAAGTCTTTCAACATTATATACTTCATTTTTCGGCCGAGTTACCTCTACTGCAAAGATCTTTGATCAAACTTTTAAAAAAATCCTTATTTTTACTTAAGTACCTTACTTTAAAGAAAAACTCAACTATATAAATTTCCGTTACCATGTTACATTGTAGCTGGTAAAGTTGCTGCTTGTCCAACGATGGTTTGTCTAGTTTCCCTAACTAATTTCGATTCCAACTAGCTAAAGAACGATATTTACCAATGCCTAATTCAATTCCGACCACTTTCAACTTGCATTCCCAGCAAAGACTTAGAATTAGCATTAACTAGAATTGATGCATCTATATATCAAATTCAAATGCTATTTCTGTAAAATGTGCAACCAAAAATTAGACTTTGGTTGGATACAGATGTAAATAGGATCAATAGTTTTTTTCTTTTTTTATTTTAGCGATGATCCTTTTTCTTTGTTTTGTTTTTACGTCGTTCACAATTATCTAAATATAAATAATTAAAAGAATCTAATTATCATTTTTAGATGGTTACTATAAAAAATTTTATTTCAAAATTATTTGACGATTGATGTTTTTCCAACAAATAGTAAGTTAAATATTGTCCGAATATAATAAAAAGTATTGTACTAATGAACATGATCTATGATTTTTCTCTCAGCTCACGATCATTTGGCTTGCATCCATTGTAGTTTCTCAACAACAGTGGAGCTCGAATGGTTAAAACATATGAAAAAAGACCATAAACGTAAATTTATAGCCTTGATCAAGAAACGTAAAGCATATCGTCGACAATTGCATAAAGAACTTTATAATACTGTACAAGATAAGGTATTATTGTTTTAAAACATCTTTTATCAAACGAAAACTCTTATCAAAGCTTTCAACTCTAATTTTACTTAAGTATAACATTCTTTCTTTCATATAGGAAAATGATAATCAAGGTAATCTTGATCGTCGAAGTATGCCGGTTACAGAATGTTTAAAACAACGTAATTATTATAATCATCTTGGTAGTAATGAAAATCAACAAATTAATCAAACAAGTTCTGTAACTAATCTTAATTCATTTTTTCAATATAAAAATCAATTAACTAATCAAACAGTTGCTACAACTAATCCTAATTCTTTATTTCAATATGAAAATCAACATGTTAATCAAACAGTTGCTGTAACTAATTCTAATTTATTATGTCAATATGAAAATCAACATATTTAACCACCTGTTACTGAAACAAATGATTATTTTCCTGTTCAAAAATATGAAAATAAATCAATTAATGAAATAGTTGCTGTAACAGATCTTAACTCTTTATTTCAATATGAAAATCAACGTATTAATCAAACAGTTGCTGTAGCTAATCCTAATTTATTATGTCAATATGAACATCAGCATAGTGGTCAAATATTTCTTCAGCAACAATTGAATCAACATGATTTGAATTTTATATCTAATAAGGTACGTGATACAACTATTCATAAATTTGAACATTTTTTTAAACATATATCTACATTTCCTCACTAAAACTAGATGGTATTCGAATTTCTCTCGAATACAAAATGTGATGCGAAGCATGAATCTTGATAGTTCAGGAAAAAAAAGAAATCTGATAAGAAAAACGAATAATCGACTGTAGAATAAATGTCGATCGTTATCTCTTGTCAGGTAGTTTGAGTTTTGCCGAAACAAGACGCTGCTCTAAATCGTTGTGTATTGAAAATGGTATTTTCCATCAATTAGCTGATCAAATGTAGCTCACAGTTGAAAAGTAGCCATTATGAAGTTTCTCACTACGAAAACTTTATTAACGCATATCAACATGTTCCTAAAGAATGCTTTTGATTGATAGTTTAATCATCTGCATGATTCATTATCTCTTATCAGTTGTATTCGCAGCTGACTTCCATATGAGCAAAGAGATTGACGCCTAACCTTTGTTGCTTTCTTCATTTTAATTTTAATTAAGATGCGAAGCACTTTATAGTAATGCGTCGCGAGTTTTCTTTATTTCTTTATATATAACTAGACATACTCATCAAATTTGTGATTTTATGTTGCAGTGATCTTGAGAACAGAAAGTCAGAAAATTTTCGCTGAAACAGGATGTAAAAGTAACGAGATTGAACCTAAAATATTTCTTCTCAAATAGAGCATAGGATTCTTCGTTCAGTCATAAATCTATTTTCAAAAACATACTTTTGAAAGATTTTGGTTTCGAGATAATTAAAATGAAAAACGTTAAGAAAAGTTAAACGCCATTCTTTATGTTCATATGTTAAACAGCTGTCATTACAGCTGATGACAGATAATGAACTATATCGATATTTAAACGATCAATCCATAATGCTCTTTAGAAGAATATTGACAGGCTTTCATAGAGTTTTCGCAGTGATGAATTCTACAATGACTATTAAATTTCCAGCTTGTGTCAGATTTTGATCAGCTGATTGATGCAAATGTAACTTTTTCCAGTTATAACGATCAACAGAAATTTTTGCCTTCGGTCGAACAGAGACATCTTCAAAACACACACCATTCGAGTTTGACTCTACAACCGATTTTTCCTTTTTTTCAGAAACTCCATTATTTCACGTAATCGATACTCGTGCTTCGCACCTTATTTCGCATTCTCGACGAAGTCAAGATGCCATCTAGTGATCTCTAAGATAAGTTTTTGAAATTGGTAATTTTAAGATAGTATTTATGAGTGAATAGGACGTCCTTCGGAAGATTGGAAAACAAATATTATTAGTTTGATCTCAATACTTTCACTTCGCATTTCTACGAATGTTTTCTGACTTTTCATTGTCGATTTAATTGGAACAGAAAATGACCATCTTTATGTGTACGTCAAGAGAAAAAAAGAACTAATTGGCACCTCGACTTCATCGAAAATGCAAAATTAAGTACAATCACACATATTGACTATATGAAATAATCGAATTTTCAGCTCAAACGAATAATCGATTCTAGTATGAATGTCGAGTCGTGTTTCTCGTCAAGTACTTTACGTTCTGTTGAAAACAGATGTTCCTCTTGATTGTTGTAAATCGAAAAAGGTGCATTTCCATCAATGAGCTAATCAAAAATTTGACTGAAGCTGAAGGGGTGCTCATCATGAAACTCATTACTACGAGAAGTCTATGAAAGCGTAGCAACATACCTTTAAAGCATGCTATTCATTGATCGTTTAATTATCTCCATAATCGTTCATCTCTAATCAGCTATATCCAGAGTCGTGTGATAGATATGGAAAGAGAATGACGACTATCTTTTCCTATTATTTTCATTTTAATTATCTCAAAATGAAAAAAATGACAAAGTCTTAAAAAACTTTTCTTTTTCATACGTTATTTATATGCGAACGAAAACTCATTAAGAAAATTGAAAAACAGCTGCTTTCGGTTCGATCTTGACACGTTCAACTTACGTTATTACAAATATTTTTTGACTTTCGGCTCACAAGGTTAATATGACACACAATGTCAAATTTATTTGCATGTTTAGATAGGAATAAATAAAGAAAGAAAACTTGCGACGGACTACTATAAAGTGCTTCGTACCTTGAAAAAAAAGAAAGAAAACTCGCGAAAGACTACGTAAATACTGTACTTCGCATCACATTAATAAAAAAAAAGGAAAATGTTAATGAGAGTACGATTGGCGCTAACAATTGACAAGACAATAGCCATTATCTATATTCTCACTATTTTCTTTCTCATCGTCATTCGTCAAAAAAAAAACAAAAAATGATCACGATTGCCTATTATTCATGCAGTATAAATAGCTTCACTTTTTTTTCCTTCATCAGTGTCATAAGTTCAATCATTGATATACTCAATATAAATGAGAATAAAAATTTATAATTATGGCAGAAAAACAGGTTATTATATTATTCCCTTGTGACATAACACAATTTCATTTTCACTATTTTAACTATACTTATCATTTTTTTTAGGATCAAAACAAAATAACACTAGTTGCTTACAACGAGGATATCATAATGAAATATAAAAACGGGTTATTAAGTGATACAGAATACGCACTGGCTTTGAAATTCATCTTGGAACAAATTCAAAAACATTCATAAATATCTGTTCAAAGCTTGGTCATCTATCTTATTTTGTTTATTATTTATCATGTGGTGTACTCATTTTTTTCATTATTCTGTAACTTATTTTTTTCTTTCTGTCGTATTAAAACAATATTTTTCTTTCTATTTCATAATAACTTCTTCTCACGTATGTTAATCAGATCTTTTTTGAATTTTATTATCTATTAATATAATCCATTCGATCGATTAATGTTCGTCATGTAATATTCATATTTAATTCTTGAATAAACAAAAAATTTATTTAAACACATTTTAATTTTAATAATTTTTCTGGTATTAAAAATTAATCTATTATACAAAAGTTCTTTTTTGTTTTATTTTCTGAACAAAAAAGAGAAAGACCAAAATTTATTGTGATGCTTTTTAAACAAGAAAAAAATAATTTTTTTTTCATAAGAATATTTCTAGGTCTAATCACGATTTCTTATTTCTCATAGAAATCGATCGATTTATTAAAAGCATGTTTTGATTAAGCATAATGTTGACTAGGAAGTATATTCGAAATAAATTTTGATCATTGTTTTTCTAATAGTATGTTATCAGTCTATAGTGTAAATTTATAAAGCAACTATTTTCTTTCGCTTTCTGTTTCCTATTATCATATCGGTTTTTTGTCGATTATGAAAAATATCACTGATGTAGTTACATATGATCATTTTTGATTGTCTATTATATGCATGTTGGTCTTTTGTGAAACACGATCTAGATGAAATCTTAAAGTATATGGACGATACTTTCAATCTCCTACAGATACCTTAGTAACGACTCAACAGAGATCGTGACAGGTACTTTAATAAAGTAACTCACTAATGGATGGTTGTGGGTGTGGGTGCAGGTCTTCCTTTCATCCACTCACATACTCACACTAACACCCCGCAGCTACACACACACTCAGATCCAGATGCTTGTCCGTGCAAATAAAAACTTTACGCTGATACCTATGCTCTGAAAATGTTTAGTTGATTAAGTTTGATTAATAATGAAATTAAACGAATTTAATTTCCCGATGGACTTGTGTGACACGCTGTATAGTGAAAGTCAAATGAAAATATTTGTGGAAAAGTGAATCTTAACTTTAAAATGCCTATTCACTTAATAGGATATCATTGATTAATCTGTAAAAATGATTTGTTGAATCGAAGCTTTATGATTGATTGCTGCGGCCGATCAATGTAATACGGTAGGAAACGAATAACGTATCAGATGGTTTATTCGTCTTATGTTATTGTCAGTTTGAAAAGAAAGTTTTTCACCTAGCTAGTAGATCCTCTAACGAAATCGATTTTAATTCTATTATGATTTTTTGTGTTTTTCTATTTGTCCAAACACATGAAAAAATTTTTACGTTTGAAGGAAAAAGAATGAAAAAATTCAGTTCGAATGATTTTCATATATAAGGGGAATAATAGACAGTGAGTTTTGTCTCTTTTTTAATAATATTTTTTTGTTGGAGAAAATAACATGAAAGCAAATTTTTTGGTTATTCATTCTGTTAGCGAGAAGATTAAAAATAAACATGAACAACCGTGCGAATAAAAGTTATTAAAAAAAGAAGCAAATATAAGAAGCATCTTAGCAATCCACATATTTGAAGAAATACCCAGAGTCTTCGATTGGCTTTACTTTCCTAGCTTAATGTACGTTGTTTCATCTTTCCAAAATAATGTTAAGCAACGAAACAAAAAGAAATATGACTTCAATCAGATTCATATACAAAAAACTCTCATTCTCATAAATGCATTGTGTCACATAAGAT